TGAATGCAGAGCGCATTCAACTCCCTCGAGAGCTGAACGCGCATGCTCTTCACCACACACACACAACACGTGAGCTGTTGTGAAACTGCGGGTATCAGAGCAAAGCCTCTGGCGAGAGAACATGCACTCCTAGTCGTGCTTAGCTTATCGCTAACATAAACAAACGGTCAGTGAAGACGAAGAAGAGGATGACGTGTTCTCCCAGCGCCCTTTTATACTGTGATTGCGCTGGGTAATGACGTCATTGGCTGTTGGCCAATGCTATTGTTGTGTTTAGATGTATGCTTCAGACACCGGTCACACTGAAGGCATTCCCCATAGCGACCTCTAGAGGACGCAGTGTCTCGTTCCCTCGGAAGGGAACATCCAGTTATCCAGTTATAGACCTAGCACTACAGGAGTAATACAAGTAATATACTACAAATATACTGTTTTGCCAATTTTGCAATAAATGCAATTCAGAAAAAAAAAGGATTTATAAATTGTGGGTTCAGTACACTACAAACATATTGTTAATTTGCCAATATTTGGTCATCATTATTTATTTATTTATTTATTTTTTGTTTGTTTGTTTGTTTGTTTGTGGGTTCAGTACCCTGCAAATATATAGTTGATTTGCCAATATTCAGTCATCATTATTTATTTATTTACTACATTGTGGGCTCAGAACAAACATAGTTAATTTGCTAATATTTTGTCATTATTATTATTATTATTATTATTATTATTATTATTATTATTACTACTACTACTGCTACTATTAAATTATGGGATCAGTACTCTACAAACAAATTTTTTATGCAATAAATGCAATTCAGACACATGTCAGATTGATTTCCATTATGAATCTTCCTATAAATACTTTCAATTCTACTAAACAAACATAATGTCGATGTTCAGGTTTTCGCAGTGTTGTTTGTTTGTCTCTGGCAGGGATCTGATCAAGGTGCTGAAGTGGTATGTGGACCGTATTATTGAAGCGGATCATCAGGAACACATCCAACAGGTGCTGAAGGTGAGATGCTTCACACTACACATCTTTTCTCGCTCTCACAAATCATTTTTACAAATTCTGCCCTTCATAATGATATTTAGAGTCTGTCATTACTGTCCTCCATCTTCTGATTTTCTACAGCCCCAAATACAAATACAATTTATATTTGTAATGTACTGAATATTCAATTTCTTAGGAATGGTTCGCTGCCGGCCGTTATGACTTCGACATCGCATTAGTTCACACAGCCCATGCATTCTTAATTAGGCGGCTTTTATGTTGCTTTCTGTGCTCAGATCTGCTATTCTGTTGGTTTCCTAGGCGACGGAGTATATTTTTAAGTATATTATCCAGTCACGACGGCTGTTTGCGCTGGCCACGGGCGGACAGAACGAGGAGGAGTTCCGCTGCTGTATGCACGAGCTTTTCATGTCCCTCCGCTTCTTCCTCTCGCAGGAGAACAAGGGCTCACGGCCCATCACACAGACACAGGTGAGAGACACACAGATCTGTTTATGTTGGAAAACTCCTTATATTGTATAGTTAACACATGGAATGAGCATCTCTAGTGGGTGAAAAAGGTTCGAGTTTAGCATGCAACATTCCTCTTTCTTTTCTTCCACCACTAGTTTTAAATACAAATTAATTGAATAAAATTATTTTATTATATAATTATTTAACTAAAAATAATATTTTTAAATCTATTTTTATTAAATTAATAAAAAATAAAATGTATTAATAGATTTAATAAAATAAATAAAATTAAAATTATTTTAAAAATAATTTAACAAATAAAAATACAAGTATATGTATATATATATAAAATACAGTATATAAACTAAAGATGAATTTACCTTATGGAGCATTATTCTAATTAATAGAGACAGTGATTTTAGTCTCAGGCCTGAAGTGTCCTCTGAAACCATGGGATGTCTGCCGAGGCAAATCTGCTGTATTAAGCATTTATTTGCCAGAGAAATGTCCTTAATTTTGACAGACATTTTGCCCTTGAGAGATAGGATCAGTTTTCAGTGCATTCCCTAAAATTCAGGCAAAGCATTTGAAGTCTCCCGCAAATCTTTCCGACTTCCCTGAGCTGAATGCAAGAGCGTCTTATATTCTCCTTCGCTCGGGTGCCCATCGCACTGGCTTTTGTTCGAGCCTTGGTGTGAGTTTGTTTTGATGTTCTGCCGTGTTCTACAAAGAGTCTCAGAGTGCCCATGTGCCCCATTTGAAAGAGAAAGACGAATACTTACAAAGAAGGAATTGCTTTGGGTTTTAATGAGAGAAAGAAACATTGTAAATGAACACGAAGGATAAGGATGAAAAAAGTGAGATAATGATGGCGCAACAAGATTACAAGAAGCTCTAGGGAAGACTTGAGATAATAGGGAAGTGAGAAAAACAGACAGAATCACATTTCAGTATTGTTTTAGAGTTTGATTCAACACTTGGGAAAAATCACTACTTATTAAATATCACAAACAGACTTTTTATTTTTTTAAAAATATTTTTTACTTTTATTAAAAATAAGAAAAAAGTTTTTTTTTTGTATTCTAATTGTATTTTACAATTGTATTTTATATTATTTTATTGACATTTCTGAGATTATTTAAGAGTTTATTTGACAGATGTAAAAAAAAAAAGTTTATTTCATTTGTACACAATTTAGGGGTGGTTTTATCTGAAATAGTTGATGTTACAAAAATAAACAGAAGTGTCAGTCCGCAACCACCAAATAAATTGGTGTTAATATGTATGAGCAGAAGTTTTATTCTTCTAAAAATAATAAGTGCTGACTTTTTCACACACGTAACCAAAAACCAGAATGTAATTTACAGTTCTGCTCATAAATATCTAGTTTACTTTCTACTAGATACTTTAACATTTCAGTATACTTATGCTAATTTAGACTAAATATATGTTAGTATTTATTTTAGAGTTTTATATCACTAACCACACAAGGTTTGGCAGATCTAGAGATGGATTTTCTTCAGAAGTGCTTATTGAACAATTGTGGTACCTTGCAAACACAATTTTTCTTTTCTTTTTTTTCTGGGTGAACTTCCACTGAATTTTAGCCATTAGTGTGCAGTATGCTTTAGGTGGTCAGTGGACAGACGGTGGTCTGAGACTGAGACTAGTGTCATTTAACACTTCAAGTTGGATTGTCTCAAGCATGAATAGAGTTAGTACATCCCAATAGGGTATAGTTGTGCGGTATATCTGAAGATGTATGTTCACCTCAGATGATTTATTAGCCCTGTGTTGGGCTGAGTGCCGTTCGAACGTTTTAATCTTCATAGAGAGCAGAACAAAGGCAGTGATAGAATGCAGGCCAGAGTCGTTCTAATCCCCCATAATCCTCCGCCGTCCCTCCCGCTCCACGCTGGCCCCTCACAGCAGGATAACATGTTGAGGTTTGGGCCTCTTGTCTCCTCTGTCCATGCTCTTCTTGTTTTTGAGATTCCTTCATAGTGGGAAAAGGCCGTGGGTTAGAGGATGGTCATGTGTCACGGTCAGTGTATGTGAGGCAGATGAAATGTGAAGGCTGATATTCATAGTTTTAGTGGACGTTATAGTTTAATTTATGTACATTTGCATACTTGAATATGTTTTATTAAAGGTAAAAATAATTTTATTGTAGTCACATTATAGTTGAAATTTAGTTCTTGTTTGTATTTTATTTTTTATTTTTTTCACTGTTCTTTCATCATTGTTTTGTTGATAATAGTTGCAAATAGTTTATTTATTTTTATTTTACTTATCATTTATTTTATTATTTATTATTACATTTTACTGATGTAATTTTGTAATTGTTGTTTTCGTTGTAGCAGTTCTGCTCATAAGTTTACATACCCCTTGCAGACTATGCAAGATGCTAATAGTTTTTTTTTTTACAAAATAAGACAATAATCCTAAAAATGCATGCTATTTTATTTTATATTCATTTTTTTTTTTTTTTCAATAAGATGCATTAAAAGCTGGGGGATGTAAACTTTATAGGATGATGTGTAACTATCTTATTTTAAAGACCTCCAGAAGCTACTTAATATATTACATGTTTCCATTAAGACAAAAGAAGTACAATTTAGTGTGATCAACTAATTCAAAAAGTTGCTTAGTTATCATTCATGATGGTACTAAATAAAAAAATAGCAGCTTTTATTTGTTAAAATTATTAACATCTTGCATATTCTGCAAGAGATATATAAACTGTATAGTAACAGTTTCATGACAATGTTATGTTTATCTGCAAACTTACATTATATTAATTGAAATATTTATTTTTTGTTTGTATTTTGCACATTATTGTCACCCTTGTTTAATTGCATTTATTTTTTTCTCGCTGGTAGTTTTTAGGTTGTTTCGTAATGTAGTGTGCATTAAAATTACGGTTTTATTTATTTTTACTTACTTTGTTTATTTTTCCATGTAATCGGTGTGAATGAGATTGTTTCTTGACTTGATTGTTTGTCACCTGACTCCACAGGCAGTGTTTCTGCAGTCGTTCCCAGCTGTGTACGGGGAGTTGCTGAAGCTCTTTACGGTCAGGGAAGTGGCCACGTTTGTACGGGAGACCTTGGGCAGCCTCCCCACCGTGTCCCAAGCCGACTGCCCCCTGGAGGCCGTCAAACTGCACTGCATCGCCAAAACCGTAGAGAGCCAGCTCTACACAAACCCTGGTAAACACATGCTCATTGAGGATGAAGATGGTTAGAGGCAGTCTGCTCAATGTTTGTGTGTGTTTTTATCAGAGTCTAGATGTATCCTGCTCCTGGTGGTGCTGCGTTTGCTCCAGGCTCACATGCAGGAGCAGCGAGATCTCGTCATGTGCGCTCACATACTCACCTGCATGCTGTCTCTCCTCAAGAAAGACGACAAGGTAAGATAACCCTCACACAACTATAGGACAACACTTTGGACAACAAGCAGACTTAGTCTAAGCAAACAGAGCCAATCTCAAAAGAGATCGCTAAACTCCAACGTACCAATGTTTGCTGGCATTTTCAGCTCATCAGCGCTTTTTCTGTTACATAGAGAGTGTGTGTGGTTGCCAGGTTGGGAGCATTAAGTAAATCACTGGCCAGAAAATGTATCAATTTAAATGAAAATCTCTGATTTTGGGGGATCTAAACTGTTGACATCTGGCAACCGCAGTCATGAAAGTTTGTGGAGGCTTGTTGCCAATGCAAAATAATGCAAATTCCAAATTAAAATGAAATGTTTTCAGGACAAATAACTAGCAGGCAAATATTATGGAAGACCATATCCACCACTGAAAAAAAATATGTACATGTATATATGTATGTTTTAATATGCTGAAAGATTTTTTTTCCTCATTAAGTCATATATTTAAGGGCAGTTAAAGAAGAGGGTTATAGCACACTCGTAGCATAATAAAAGTTTAAAAAACACTCTTGAGAAGTTGGGTCTTTAAAATTATCACTCTAAATGCATTGCTTTTATTCAAATCCTTTGCCTTCAACACAGCTTTTCAAGTCCGTCAGACTTTAAATGTCCTGCTTTCAGCAATCTTCCGTTTATGCATAATCCATAGGTCTCCATTTGTTATGAAAGTTTTGTGCTGTAAAAGAGTATTTAGCTTATTTATTTGTCAAATATCTGCCATTCCCAAGAGTATGAAACACGTTTGTCAAAACGTGGCCTTAAATCCCCATAATTATGCAAGGCTCCCTGAAGACCTACTTATCATTCATGCAACCCAGAAGCTTTGTTGAATTAGTGTTTTTGCACATCCCCTATTCGTGTTAACTTCTGCTTTGAAGACGACCACAGGAAACTTGTCTTGAAAATGCTGAGGCTGCTATAAATGTAGACATCCTCTCTGACCTTCAAGTCAAATGGCAGGTCTCACGCACAGAGAAGGACCGATGTGCATCAGACGCACTGGTTTCTTCCTGCACTTGCATAAACTGAAATGACAGCTGAACCTTTCATGGCTGTCTCACCCTTTTTGCCATTAGCACCCTGTCAGACAGTGTGCATAACATCACCGTTGACCTCTTGCAAGGGCAAACATACAGTATATGTGTGTCTGTGTGTGTGTGTGTGTGCAGGAGCCAGCCGTATCCGAAGAGGTGGATCTGATCGTGGAGAGTGTTTTGGGTGTCTTACTGCGGACCATATTGGAAATCGCTAACCGGCCACAACCAGCAGGGCCTACGCTACGGCCCCAAGTTCAAGACGTTACGGTAAGAAAACCAAATAAGAAAGCAAGCTTTATAGAGAATAGGCAAGAGTTAATTTAAAAAAGTGAAACATGCGAGAAAGCATCAGATACAGGCCCTGAGGGCGAGGTAATTACAGCCCAGCTGTCAAAGTGCTTTACACATCAAAGTCTCTCCACACAAGCAGCAGGTGAATTCTGGCAGCGTTCCTGCTAGATGTGACGTATTCCCCAGCGCCCAAAGGTTTTTGTGAATGCAAACCTCGCCATACCTCATTTCAACTCCAATTTATTCATCCGTATTCAACACAGACTGAGATTTATCAAGGGTTTTATGGGGCGGTTCAGTATGGTAATGAAATAATCTGTGATGTCTTTTTTTTCCTTTTCTTGTGGAGGCAGGTGTTTTGCAAATGAGTTTACATGGGCAATGTATAGCTAGACCTGCATGAAATCTGCTGACTTTTTGATGTTATTGTGGGACTGTGGGAAAGTATATGCAGAAATCTGCAGAATATAAAAAATATTTTGAAGAAAAAAACTATGTATGTACAGGTGCATCTCAATAAATTAGGATGTCGTGGAAAAGTTCATTTATTTCAGTAATTCAACTCAAATTGTGAAACTCGTGTATTAAATAAATTCAGTGCACACAGACTGAAGTAGTTTAAGTCTTTGGTTCTTTTAATTGTGATGATTTTGGCTCACATTTAACAAAAACCAATCAATTCACTATCTCAACAAATTAGAATACTCCATAAGACCAATAAAAAAAACATTTTTAGTGAATTGTTGGCCTTCTGGAAAGTATGTTGTCTTCTGGACAACTGTCAGATCAGTAGTCTTCCCCATGATTGTGTAGCCTAGTGAACCAAACTGAGAGACCATTTTGAAGGCTCAGGAAACCTTTGCATGTGTTTTGAGTTGATTAGCTGATTGGTATGTCGCCATATTCTAATTTGTTGAGATTTTTGTGGGGGGTTTTTTTGTGTGTTTTTGTTAAATGTGAGCCAAAATCATCACAATTAAAAGAACCAAAGACTTAAACTACTTCAGTCTGTGTGCATTGAATTTAATACACGAGTTTCACAATTTGAGTTGAATTACTGAAATAAATGAACTTTTCCACGACATTCTAATTTATTGAGATGCACCTGTATAATAAGAACGCCGCCGCGCACAGAGCCAGTCAAATTCAAATACTGAAACGAATTTTTGTAGCCTATGATAAAAAAAAAATATATATATATATATA